AAAAAACTAAAACGTGACGTCAAGCGACCTTTTAATCGCTATATCTTTGTAATGTTAAAATTATGTGAAAAAAAAACTGTCCAATACTTTTTGTGAATCTACCTGCTAGACGAAGGAACATTCCATTCCCGTTCTGCCTTTCAAAGATTCAAACAAATGAAGACAGTAATGGTTATTTATAATATTAGTGCGGAAAGTTGGTTATAACAAACTAGTAGACGAATATAAGCCTGAGACGAATTAGGGGGTTTACCATAGTCACGAGTTTGACAATACGTTTTTCAACACATTTGCGAGAAAACAGTACCTATATACTTCAGTAATGTAATGAAGCAAATTGGTAATAAGGAAACAGCACGTATATCCAATAGGCGCCACGTGCGGGTGATGAAAATTAGAACTACATCACGTATTAAAGTGAGACAAAAGCATAGATTAAAAGCGCTTCCAAGGAGGTTCGACTGAAATAAAAATACCCCGCAGAGTATAGGCATGCGGCATTGAAGAATGCGGTTAAGTGTTTCACCGCACGCTCCGTTATATAGCCCGGAATTTTAAACTTTCGAACAATGCATTCAACCTCCGAAAATGCATTTTTGGAGCAAATGTGTTGAAAGGTATATTTAAAATGTACATTTTAAACTACGAATTGTTTTTCAAATTGAAAGAAATTGGCACTGCAATTAGAATTTAATTTATTTTCTATAGGAAAAGATTGAAAAGTTAGAGGAGGACAAAAAACGCCGCCTCCAACTGTACGTGTTCGTGTCGAGATGTATAGCGCACCCGTTCAACGCGAAGCAACCGACCGACATGACTCGAAGACATACAAAGTTGACTCCGCATCAATTGGAAACCATACAAGCCCGGTTTCAGGTATGAAAATAACAACTTAAGTCAATAATACGCGTATAACACCTCGTTTTCTTAACTTATTACGAACACTTAATGGGCTTAACTTACAATGCTGTGAAACTGAATCTGGTATTCTTGAAATGTAGGTAGGTTTCATTTTGTAAAGAAATTTAATGTGATAAGATGTGTAAGCAGGTACTATAATTTAGCACAACAATTGCTTAACATTTTTTTCATTTATCTTTGCAAATGAAATAATTCTTACTTGTTAAAATTATTGGATTTAAATCACGTTCTTCAGTTATATTTTGTACTAAATGAATTTGGAACACACTGTTGACTGCCGACCGATATTTTGACGCCTCACTCACACGACGCATTTTCTTATCAATAACTTTGAAAAGTGCGATGAACAATCTCTAAACACAAATAGAGTCTATTCGGAAAGAGAAAGGGCGTGGCGAAAAACGGAACTAACATTAAAAAAAATTTGGCAATCAAACCCAGCAATCTGTAAATCGTCAAAGTTTTGTATTGATACGGATTTGTTTCTTGTTGTGATTTCTTGCGGTTTTTTGTATTAAATCATGTCTAAAAGGGGTAAAACCTTACAAATACGGTAGAAAAACACTACAGCGCCCTCCAATTTAAATCCTATTCTCTAATACCGTTTTGCTGTTGCAAAAAAAGCTGTGATTGTATTTAACACCGTATACTGTCAATCTTGACGGTCAGCCTTTTTTCATATTATGAGTTTAAAAAAAGAAATTTCGTATAGATAGATTTTATAACAGTTCTGTTGGGTTTTTTAATGTTTTTTTTTCTGTTCCTTGTTCTGAAAATAACAAATACAATAAAAAAGGAATAATACAATTTAGTTAACGACAGTACATTTTTATACATACCTATAGATGTATTTATCTATCCACAGGCATTCTTGAAAGGCGAAACTCAAATCCTTGCCGACGAAGCATTTCAGAACGCAGTCCAGTCATACCACGACGTATTCCTTAAGTCTGAAAGAGTGGAGCAGATGGTCAAGTCTGGAGCGTGTTCACACCACGACTTTCGCGAAGTTTTCAGAAATAATATAGAAAAAAGAGTCAGGTTTGATGGTTTTTTATCTATGTCAGGTTCGGCCTTTTATATTAATTATCTTAGAAGATAATTGAGCATTACTTTTTCCTGAATCTTAAAATTAGTTAAAGAATTTTCTTTCATTGTATTTACTCGCAAACTATTCGAATTCGATAATGGTTCGTGCTGCTACGCTTTCACACAAACACACTAAATGGTTGTTTCCAGGTCTTTACCCGAAATAGATGGATTAAGTAAGGAAACAGTTCTCACATCTTGGCTCGCCAAGTTTGATTGCATCATGAAAGGCACAGGTGAGAAAGCACAAAAGTAAAAACAAAACCCAGGCTAACGCTAGACTTGAAAACAGACAACAGAATTCACTTTATTTACTCTCTTAACAATTGAAACTAAAAGATCTGATGATGCACCCAGGAAGTTTATCGGTAAATATATCAATATGTTTTGTTGAAAGCGTTTAGAAAAATTTAACTGTTTCGTAAAGTCTAGCAGATGCCGAAAGTTTATAAGAAAATGAACAGCATGTTGCAATGTGTGTTGACGCATCGAATGTAACCAAACTTGAGTTCTGCTAGCCTTTGAATGTTGGTAATGGAACAAAATCTGTGTGCTCAGTAGTAAATATTATGTTGAAACAAATTCATTGCAATACACCCCAACTCTATTTAAATCACTCTGATGTTCTCATGTATTAGAAAATAAAAATAATAATACGCAAAGACATAATTCTGAACAAGAATAAAAGTTTAATGTCCTATAACGTATACATGAAATCGACATAGAGAATGAAAAACATTGTAATAATAAATAAAATCATATACGTAATTGTATTAATTTGTTAGATACAGGCACTTAATTATTAAAAGGTTTGTGTAAATAATTACAGAATAGTACAATGAAGCATGGCGTGTTTAATATTATCGGTCAGCTTTTTATATATCTTAAACGGCCTCATTGTCGGTGTGCCTGCAGGTGTGTATTTTTATTTTAGAAAAATGCATCGCAAATATTTTTTTTAACAATAGATGGAGTAAAAATATTGTTCTTCAGTTATAGTTTGAAATTTCTTCGCTTTGTGCGGAGCATATAATCAGCTGACTTATATGTACATTTTCTATAATATAAAAACCGTAGAATAAATTCAAAATCAGTAGCAGATACATGTTAAAACTCATACCGATAGCACACTTTATTTACTCTGTCAATGGTATATACATTGTAAATCACCATACCCCATGAGAAAAATCCTTCGATTCAATAATCCAAGAGAATCATGAGTTTGTATAGCATAGTATCACTCCTGATTTATTTATTGTTTATATGTTATATGTGTGTCGCCTGCGTCTGTCTCACTGTCTGTGTTTCTCTCCCTTTCTCTCACGACATGTCTCTCTCACACATCCCTACAGGAATAACAGGTATCACTCGGCAGTTCATTGTTTCCTATTTACTACATTCTGCTTTTGTCTTGTGCTGTTGCTTTGTAGTATTAGTGCTGCATTGCGTATGACATAAAAAATATTTCCAGGATTTAATCGGTTTTTGTTTCATTTAACTTTTAGTTTTACTATAATGTTTATATACTAAAATAATGTTAAATGTATATTAATTATGCTTTGAAATGCAGAATGTATTTTATGAGAGATAGATAGAAGATATTTTTCATATTATCTTCCCATATTGTATTAAAAAAAAAGGTTTTGCTAATGTCTAGAACTATGTTATTCAATGTTTTACATATTGGTATTTAATTTTATATTATTATCTTTTATTCTTTAATTACTGAATCTTATTCAGTAATCGGTAAGTAATCTTTTTATATGCATGGGTTTATACAAAATCCCAAATAATAAAAAAAACTTACATCTTCATTCTAAGTAAAATCTTCATTATAATACCATGGTGGTATTAAATATTTATAGATACCACTAATTCACCACTTTTATTTTCTACTTTTAATGTTATACTCGTTATCAAACAAAGATCATAATCAATTATTTTTCGCCTCACCGAACGGCACAAGTAAGTTAGAATCCCACTTTGAAAATGCAAGCACTTTTTCTCTACATTATGACACATTATTTTAAATTCTAATCTACTTACTCAGCATAATTCAAACTTCGATTGTTAACGTTATATTTTTAATATTTGATGAACATTTTTGTTATTTCTTGACTGAAATTCAGGTATACCCGGTGATGACGAGTCTAAACGACCTTCTCGGGCACAACAGCAAAGCCTCAACGCTGAATGCATCCTCAGCAAAGAGCAACTGTACGATATGTTCCAGCAAATTTTAGGAGTCAAGAAATTTGAACATCAGTTACTCTTCAATGCACTACTCGTAAGTATTGAATAATTTTTTAATTTTCTAAAAATAACTATAACTCAATCGAAAATCTAAAAATTCCATCAAATGTAATTGAAAACAGAGCCTGTTTTCTATACAATTTTTATTATACAATACGAAAATTGAAATATTTATAATTGCAATTTTTGATTTTCAGTTGGATTCAGCAGATGAACAAGCTGCTGCTATCAGAAGAGAATTAGACGGAAGAATGCAGAAAGTCAACGAAATGGAAAAGGTTAATTCCAATGCATCACTGTCTTGTCAACTGTTACTTCCCATTAGAAATGAAACTAAATTAAGTCCTTTGATATTGTAGAATCGCAAACTCATGCCGAAGTTCGTCTTGAAAGAAATGGAATCACTCTATATTGAAGAACTGAAGTCATCAATCAACCTCCTTATGGCAAATTTGGAATCACTCCCCGTATCCAAGGGCGGCGCCGATTCCAAATACGGCCTTCACAAAATCAAGCGGTATAATCACAGGTCAGTATCATTACATTACTTCATAATTATTCTAATATACGTAATACATATTAACCCAAAAACGCTTCGCAATTATCTACATCTCCATGTTTACGATATAAAACCTAGATTTAAGAGATTCTATTTAAAAAATATCTACTTTTCAATATTATATGATTCATAACTATGCAATTCTGGATACCTAACATACAATGTAAATTATTTATAAAATTTGCGTAGCGTTTTTTATATTGACGTTATCATTTCAATGTCGTGAGTCGGTGTCGCTTATGCGTTATGTAAATGTTTGATATGAGTATTAGTTGTCAATCTATAACAGGTTTCCCTGTACCAAACGAAACTCAAACTGGAACCTGATGTACACGGATCAGTAACGATACAATACTTTCCAACACTACTGATATACAAATTTAAGTGGCTTGTTAATTTGAACAGTGTTGTGTTCTTTCGATGTATTCTATGTTGTATGACATGTGTATGTAGTTTAAAAACGATGATAAAAAAAATATTTCTTTGAGCTAATGTTGAACACAAATGGAACGAAGCATGGAATTAATGTAAATTTCATAATTAAAACCACCGTTTTTAAAATACACTAACTGTACAATCAATGTAAATAAATAAGAAACTTATCGATAATTTTGACGGTCTATACAAATTCAAGAAATCCGTATAACCTATCAGTTTATAAATTCATTCAATTTTCAATTTTCTTCATACTTAATGAAAGAAATTAAAATTTTGATTGTCTTTATTAACATTGTGACTTTCCAACGTTTGTTTTGGATTTTCTGTCTTTCTGCACTCAATATTTTTCTGTATCCCTAAAAATCGATCTGGATGTATCGTCACCCATGTTTGTCTTATTTTTCAAATTTCTTACATTATTTATCTCATTCACATTTCAACCGAGGCATGTCACTTTTTGAAGCATTTGTGATTCATTAGTGATGAAATCATAATTATGAAAATAATCTCTCCCTATAGACATCCATCCAGATCCACAGTTCATAGTACACTTGTTCATTTCTAATGTTATTTTCTGCCCCTGGCACCTGGACTAAAGGAAGTACAAGTAATGAGTACAAAATTGATAAATTGCGCACGTGTTTTGAGTCTTGTGTAGAAAGAAGACCCTACACCTGGCCTGAGACAACCTTATTGAAATCCTAATGTTGTCATTGTTAAGACCACAGTAGTTTGAACTAGCAAATAGAATAGTGTGAAAAGTAATGTAGTTAAATCCCGTGGTCCAACTAAAATCATTAATAATCATAAAAATAATAAACATGACAACGCAGGATAAAAAGCTAATATTACACTGCCTAAATATACTAAGCTTGATTTTGAACAAAATGTAGTAATGAAAATCATAGTACCTGCTAACGTAACACCTAAGCCAGAATAGTTTAGCAATTAGCATTAAAAAGTAGAATAACAGCATAATCAATATTTTAAAGATATATCAAAGAGCTTTATAAAATAGGCTTTAAAATACCACTGCTTACCTATTCTAAAACATTATCTTATTTAACTTTTTGTGATTTAAGTTCATCTTATGTTTTCATCATTCCTCCTTCTTACCTTATTCTCGTAGGAAGAAAGTAGGTTTGACCAATAAAATAATAATATTAAAGTTACTAGCTTCGAGCTTAAGGGCTTCGCTTATATAAATGTATATATTTTAGGGCTAAATGTAAAATTACACGTTTTTAAATATCTGCAAAACAATCTGTCAATTTTATGTAATCTATTTTATCATTCGTCACCATTATCAAATTATTCACCTTAGCTTAAGGACTAAACTTCAAAATGCATATATACATAATTAGCAACATAGAAAAAAAACTGCTTTAAGCGTGCTTTTTGAAGTTTGTCCAGTAGAACGGTATGTACTCTAGCAGTAAAATTAGTAAAATTTCCCTTTTGTCGTGCTTAATCATTCTTGGTATCGGTGATGGTTCCATTATGTATGCCACCATGTATTTATATCCTTAATATGAATGTCTGGCCGACTGATCTTGCTTGGGGCTTGAATATAATATCCTTAATTTATTCATAAACCCTATGTTGTGTGAAAAACTAATATAATCGAATTCCTATTATTATATCGTCTATGTATATCATCAATTTTATGTCAAATACCTATATTCCCCTTATTGGAAATGTTATTAATTGTGATTGTATTCTTTAACATGTATTACATTCAATATATTATTAAAAAACATCTATTATAATTGTTATTTGTATGCCTAAATTTGGTGATTGGTTTTTGTCAATATACTTACATGTGGTTGTTCTTGTGGGTTACTTAAAAAATGATTGGTGGTTGTTAACTTTGCGATGGAGAAAAGATCGAATGCCGGACCAGATCCGAGTCCAAGGTTGAGTAAGCAGCTATGTTTCAGATCGCAAGGGTCTCTGGCCAACAAACTGACTGGTGAGGCAGATGGAGGCGATGTCGACACACAGCTAACGAAAATGGATGTTGTATTGACATTCCAGATAGAGGTAATATTGTATGTGAAGCTAAATATCAATGACAATAAGGAAAAATATTACCATACAAACTTTTGATATTAACGCAATTTCACTTCAATAAAATTGACAAGAGTAAAATCCTAACATCATAGCTTATTGAATCAATGTGTTTATGTGTCGTCTTAAACCTAACATAAACAAAGTTGTTATTTTAATGTTATCTATGTCGTGTATCGTCATTTATAATTATTATATCTGGGTATTCTGTATTATGGATATTCTAGGTGGTTGTGATGGAGGTGAAAGGTCTTAAATCTTTAGCACCTAATCGAATAGTTTATTGTACCATGGAAGTTGAGGGTGGTGATAAACTGCAGACTGACCAAGCTGAAGCATCTAAACCTATGTAAGTATGTTAAAATAACAGATCTGGATACCTTTAAGGATTAATGGATTGAATTCTTATAAACATACATTTTATAACAAATTATAAACAACATTCTTAATAAAAATAGTAAATAAACATATCATGTGACACAGGTGGGATACCCAAGGTGACTTTAGCACAACACAGCCATTACCAGCGGTAAAAGTTAAGTTGTATACGGAAAACCCCGGAGTGTTAGCATTAGAAGATAAGGAACTTGGAAAAGTGGTATTAAGACCAACGCCGCTTTCCAGTAAGGTAAATAAGGTTGGAAGGTATACTATATTAAAATATTAAGGAAATAATCAATTTGAAATATACCTTTTGTGTTGATAATCGCTACAGAGCAGAAAATTAGAAAATAGTAACTCTAGAAGTTGGTGAATCAGCACAAGGTATTGAGTAGCTGTAGTAATACGATTTCAAATATTTTATTCCGTAATTTAACTATGATGAATGTTTTTCCAGGCACCCGAATGGCATCGGATGAACGTGCCAAAGAACTTACCTGATCAGGACTTAAGAATCAAAATTGCTTGCCGTATGGATAAACCACTGAACATGAAACATTGTGGGTAAGTGTATGGGATTAGATTTTTAAGTAAATATTGAGGCTTCCTCGTAATAATTCCTTTTAAATTAGTTGAGCGATATGGCCCCTTTATTGTTAATTCGTTGTATTTTCTATTTAAAGTTTCCTAATAAAACATTACAGTATACAATACAGCAATATATTCTAATAGCAAAATGTTTCTCCATAACACTTAACAGTGATGTAGCGAAAAGAAAGACTTTAGATTTAGAGTGTTCAGTTATTTTATCAGACCTATATCAAATTCTAAAGCACTCAGTATCAATATAAACTGTGTTTTCACCTTACACTATTTTTTTTTTTCAGATACCTCCATGTAATAGGCAAAAACGTTTGGCGTAAATGGAAACGTCGATACATGGTCCTTGTCCAAGTGAGCCAGTACACTTTTGCGCTCTGTTCGTACAAGGACAAGAAATCAGAGCCTGCGGAGATGATGCAATTGGATGGATTTACTGTTGATTACATCGAACTTGCCAGTGGTACGAATCTATAAAGCTTTTAATCAAAAACTCTTCAAAATCTTCTCTAAAATAATTAAAAATAAGTTTTAACTCTTAAGAATCTACTTTTGTTGCTTTGTTTATTATATAAATCAACGAATTCTTCTCTAATATTGTTACAACTTTTGTGAAATGTTCCAGCTCAGCTGATTGTAGGACAAGGTAAGACCAAACAAATAGGTAAGAACATGATGTTTCAATACTTATGTAGGCAAGTAGAAATGGTAAATAGTGACATTTTGCTGGAATCCGGAACATCTAATGAGAAACATCTGCCATTTCGAAGTAGACGATCTGCCTGATAGATAGTAAGTAGGTTGAGTATTAGTTGAATTATGAACGCAAATATTATTTACGTATAGAAGCTTCAGGTGAAAAAAAATTAGTATCTTTTATAGAAGATACTGTAAACGATAATGAATAAATATATCGTTTGCTAAAATTTACGCTAAAATTGCAATTGATAATATAATATACAAAAACTATCTAATTATTTTTTGTTTGCAAATTCAAACAATAATAGACTTCACATCCATTACTTAGCATTTTATAAGAAAGCAAATCATTTATAAGATTCCGAATGAAACAAAAATTTCGTATCGTGTAGCGCTATCAAAATTAAAATCGTCATTAAACCCCACCATCTACGCCTATTTGCTCTGGAGCTAAAGTTAATAATATGTACCCCAAATGTAACAAAAACTCACAAAATTTTTCATCTTCAATTCAGAACTGGAAGGTGCAAAGTATTTCATGAACGCTGTTAGAGATGGAGAATCGGTTTTGATGGGAGTGACTGATGAGAATGAATGCCATTTATGGGTGATGGCATTGTACAGAGCTACTGGACAGAGTCATAAACCTACACCACCTACGACGTCGGATACGCATCACAAAATTATGGGAGGTAAGAGGAATCAATTTATGGACTTACTCCCTAAAGTTTTTTTGCCAAAATAATTTTACAAATTTGGATTTGGTACGACTATCTCTTATTTCGGTTTAAGCTTATTTAAATTAAAACAGGTTTCAATTACTTTCACAAACTCATATCTGAAATTTGATTTTTATTTCTCAGATGCAGATAAAGCTCGTAAACACGGTATGGAGGATTACATCCAAGCAGACCCATGTCAGTTTGATCACCATCAACTGTTCTGCACACTACAATCTCTGACTTTAAAGTACCGTCTTCAGGACCCATATTGCTCATTGGTACGTATTCTAAGGTTGAAAACTTATCAATAGGGTTGATGACTTACTTTTTTTATTCGTCTATCAGGTAGATTATCAAAAATAATGGGACACGTATTTTTTTCTTTTTTTAATAATCTTAACATTACAGAGATATATTGATTTAATGCCGCATGACGTCATGACGTCTAGGTAAAATTTTGACTTGAAAGTGACGGCATGAGCTCCCACTCCCAAACCTTGACTTTATCATTTTCATTATTTGTTGATTGATAAAAGAAAAAGTAAGTGTCCATTTTTTTTATAATGAAGCTGACAGACTATTTGGAATTTTGTTTATATTACCCCGTCATCATCTCTATTACGTCTACTTGATTTTAGTTAACTTTAAAGTCTTACAATATTGATTGTAGCTGATCGACTAATTTCTTTGAGTTACCAACAATTGGCAATGGAAACTGCAAAGAACCCAAAATGTGATTCGAGAACATATTATAGTAATTATTTGATGTATGCGTTATGATAAATTTATTTAACCAATTGTCTTCAGGGTTGGTTCTCTCCCGGTCAAGTGTTCGTTTTAGACGAGTACTGTGCAAGATATGGAGTGAGAGGCTGTTACCGCCACCTTTGTTATCTATCAGACCTCCTTGACGTAGCCGAGAGCGGTTCACAAACAGTTGACCCAACTCTTATGCATTATTCTTTCGCATTTTGTGCGAGTCATGTGCATGGAAACAGGTGAGTAGATAATCTTATTTGTTTAAACAATATCGAAGTCCAAAATTCTGCCACAGAAGTAAGCAATGATTAAGATTAATTTGTAGCAAGCTTTAATATTAATAATAAAACGCTTGCTGCATTCAATGTTGAATAGAAATTAAGTCATAATAACCTTATTTAATTGTAAAAGCAAAATCGATTCAACCAAAGTAAATAACATTTAAATGTGAATGAGAAAGTGTAAACGAAAAAAGTAAGCGTAAATAATATCGTAGCGTATGTGAACATTTAGCTTAAAGTCGATATCAATTTAGTTTCCCCAGTAACTGACTAGAAAATTGTTTCATACACTTATCAGTAATTTTAAACTAGGAAATGTCTGTTAACATAATGTAGGTGAATGTTTTTGGAATGAAAATGTGTTAGCGATGTCCATAGTATTGATGTAACCTAATCAAATCATTATATACTTAATTATTTTGGTGTTCGTTGATGCATACAATAATGGTTAGCTAAGCAACTGAGTTTGATGAAATTACTGCAGTAACCTAACTTAGCGTTTTTCATCTGCGTCTTTCGATAAAGATAATATAATTTTTGTGAAAATTTCCAGCATATCTAAATAATTTGTTTCTAATTTTTTGATAATTTCAAGTCATAATATTATCAATCCCAGTTGCAATAAGTAATTGGAGTCTTGCCACACACTAGCCTGACTGCCCCACTAAGTGTAATGTTGCTTTCTATAAAATCTATTAGATATCCCCTGGACCTGAAGTAACTTGCTCTATATCTATTGCCAATAAGTGTGTGCTTAATACTAACTCTGAACCTATGCTTTTACTAATATTTCATCTCCGGGCTTGAGAAGTTGGCAATAGACATAAATGTAAATTAAATGTTGCATACGAGTTACGAGTGATTTAATTTTCTTTAATACATGACTAGCTGGGCTAAAGTAATTATTATTATAATATGCCTGAAGAAACAGCTAATAAAAAATACATTGACTTAATGAGCAAAAACCGTAACTTACTCACATATTGTATTCAAAATTAATTGAAAGATTCACTTAATCAAAAAGTTATAACATAAAGTTTTCTATCAATATTGAAAACAAACAATAAAGTGGAAGAAATACATAATGTTTAATAACATTTTAATTTTCAATTCGCTGGAAAAATATCGAAGAATTCATTAAAATTGAAACCTAAGCAATCACGATATATTTCTTTGTAATGTAACTATACATTACACGGATTTGCATATAGTAAAAGTGAGAGAAGAAGCAGCTCTTTCTGAGTTTATAACAGATCTTATTAAAATATCCGTTGAAACTACTCATAAATATTCTATAGAAGATAATCTAAAAATTAAATCACTCGGTGATATCCTTAAAACAATAGTGGAATGCCAACTTCCGAGACCAACCTAACCCTGCTTGTGCCCTACTAGAGTAAGCTCCACGATCGAAGTGGTTCACAGTACAGCCACGTTGACTGGCAGGCCCGACGGCGTGGGCAGCATCACGGTCCAAGAGAAAGAAAAGTTTGCTGAGATAAAGGACCGTCTGAAGTCCCTGCTGCAGCACCAGATCACTAACTTTAGATACGCGTTCCCGTTCGGAAGGCCGGAGGGGGCTTTGAAGGTAATATTACAAGACTCATTTTCCTTGTCCCAAAACTAGTTTAGTTATATGCAAAACTTTAACCTTACTACTACAACAAACTAAGTCATGAATTTAGGAAGAATGGAGAAAGTAATAACGTATAAAATTTGTCTAAACATGGTGTAATACATTGGGCCTGATTCAGATATAATTCTCTAAACTTAATATTAAGTGTTGGCGATAAGATAACCTTATCATGCTAGTTAAATTTAGTTTTAAGTTAGATTCTTTAACTAACTTTTTGTAGTAACCGATTGACATTGAAAACAACACAAATGAAAATGTTTCCTTATAGTCCAGTGCCAAATTTAGTAAATCTTTTAGAATAATATCTATTGAAAATTTGCAGGCCACTTTATCACTATTGGAACGCGTTCTAATGAAAGATGTAGTGACACCGGTTGCGCCTGAAGAAGTACGCGCAATGATACAGACAAGCTTGGAAAACGCAGCTCTATTGAACTACACTCAGCTTAGTCAGAAAGCAAATATTGAAGGTATGTTTAATAAAATCGGTTTGATAATGTGAATATAATATAGACTTTGTAGTCTACCTAAAGTGGGAAGAAATGTCGCTACTGTAGAGCCTAAGAAATACTAGAAGAAAATTGACACGATCATCTAAGTCTCGTTAGCATAGCTGTTTGTGCATCCGCCTTAACAGCTGAAGACGAGGGTTTGAATCCAGGTAGAAACCTAGACAATGTTAAAATTAACATAGAAGTAAATACATTATTGATACAGTGCCATTATTCTTCTTTAGGAAAACATAATTTTTAAACACATATTATACATAATTTCACAGAGGACTTAAGAGGTGAAACGATGGTAACACCTGCGAAAAAACTGGAGGACCTGATTCATCTTGCAGAACTTTGTGTAGATCTCTTGCAACAAAATGAAGAACACTATGCAGAGGTAAAATTTTCGAGAATTGTTAAGCAAAAACTGAAACGAACTAAGTTTGGAGCAATATTTCTGTTGGTCAAAATTAATTAATCATTTGAAATATTCGCAAAGGTAAATTGTTATTGTTAATCAGAGATATTAACATGTTTTTCAGATATGCTCCAAGTATTAGTACATCACTTTATGTTGAATCCTGAATGTCGTGGTTATATGTCTGAGTCTCAGCGAAACTTTTGAAACAAGAGAGTCTGTAGGTTTTATTGTTAAACTTTATTAATTGATTGACAGAGTTTTTAGATAACTCTTCAAAAGTTTCGTTAGTACAATCAATGTTCATTGGACAATAGCACCCTACTCTCCTATCGCTATTAGTGACGGTACTAAAACTGCCTTAAGTATTATTTATTTTATCAAATAGGCTAACAGGTAATGTTATGAATTCCTACTTTACGATCTTGTTAGCCTATTTATTTGTACACAGCAAATAGTATCCAAAAGCGAATCTATGAAAATTTAATTTCGTTGTGTATGTTAAAATCATAATAGGATAGGACCAAATTATTTATTTTCCTAATATTGTATGTTGCTTAGTCTGTAAGTGAATGCTTGTTGAGCATTCACTAACCGACGTTGGTTGTATTGTATTGTACGCAAAAGTAAATGTTTAAATAACTTTTTTTTAATTCCACTTCTATCTTATATATTTTATTTCTCCGCAGGTTTATAACACAAAACCGGACTCTAGCGGTCAACAAAATGTAACTACTCATATTTGATTGTTGCTCGGCTGACCGAATCACTTGTCAATCGTTTGTTCACTCGATCTTGATCATACTTCACTTGGATTGGTTTGATCACAAATTTATGGGGAGTAGACTCGAAAAAGTCCCAATAGTTCAACACACGCTTGAGCAAATGCTTAGTTGTTAGAGAACAGGGATTTAAAGTATTGCATGGATTTCGATTGAGAATAGTCCAATTTAGTCTTGCGATTCGACTGTCGATTTCAACTTTTCATTCTAGGCTCTTGGATCAAAATTTTTTTGAAGACAATCTTATCGTTTCATTTAATGACACTATTGGCAGAGTTTTTGTGGAAACGTCTGCAATGAAAAGTATTTTATCTACATTCTCAATCAGTCTACTCCATAACTTCGAATACATACATATTTAACAGTGTGTACTACACTACAATTGTAGGCTAAAATATACATATAGCACATTAAAAAGATTTCTTGCTTCAGTAGACGCCAATTTATTTTCAGTACATTTCTAAGCTTGCACTTGCTCAACATACATCTTGAAAGTCATCTGACACATCTATACATTAAATTTGATTTTACATAATCCATGATAATGACATTAGTATTATTTACTCAGTACACGACAATGTTCCTACATTTACAAACAGCTTCACAACCACTAAATCCAACCAAAAAGTAGATAGAAGGAGCTTTGTACTTTTTGAAAATAAGTAACAATTTCTTGCATGATTCCCTTGAAAGTTTATATTTTGTTGATCTAGAATTCTGATATTAAAATATTTGCAATGTATCATAATAGTTTAACATAGAATCTGCATACTTGCAAATATTTTGGTATAATTTAACAGGTAAGTAAATTGTGTAAAGTTTTTAAGATACGATTTCTTAAGTCCATGTTTAACCCAAAGTCTAATCAAGCAATGATCAAAATTATGCGAATCACTGAACTTCTTTCTTTTGTCTAATTCTGCAAATTCATAATATCATCAAGATAAACGACCTCTTAGTATGTTACTGCCCTAAAGCTTTTACTTACTCAATACCAATTCTGTATGGTATTCTTATCATTCCAAAAGGCGTGTCTTTATGTCCGCAAAAACCCGTTCCAACATGTGAAACTCCCTCTGTTCAGGCGTTCGCGTGGTTCTCTGAACTGCTAGTAGAACATGCTGAAATCTTCTGGGCCCTATTTGGCGTCGACATGGATCGGGTGCTAGCAGAGCAGCCACCAGACACTTGGGATTCTTTCCCATTGTTCCAGATTTTAAACGACTACCTCAGGACCGACGGTAAATTCCTTTTCTCATCTATAGTATTATACTTTTTGACTGAAAATATTTAATTCTTTGCATTTTTTCATTACTGTTCCGATAAGTTTATGTGCTTTACTTAGTTGTGCAGTTTATTAAAAATTTCGTCTTCTTATTTTTTGCCTTTTCTATTCTTCCACTTTGTATTAATTTTTCATGTTATATATTCGCGTAACATGAAAAAATCTGTTGTTCGAAACTAAAAATTTCCCCTTGAAATTACATCAACAGAAAACTTGAAAGGTGGTAGATTCCACGAACACTTAAGGGATACATTTGCGCCCCTGGTGGTGCGATACGTAGACCTCATGGAGTCTTCGATTGCTCAATCATTACACAAAGGATTTGAGAAGGAGCGATGGGAGATCAAAGGGTTAGTAATGATATCACTTCGGACTCCTGTCTGCCCTGACGGCCCCCTTCAGAAAGACATCAAAATTTCTGTAGTTCTAGTGTCTGATATAAGAACTTTTTTTCTTAATGAGTTAGCTCTTGAATCTCTTATTCAGCCCAAGAGCAGTGACATTAGAACTTACTTTTAAAATTGTATATTGAGTACTGTGGGGCTTGGCCTGCGGGGAAGCCCTGGGGAACGTAGCTCACAATTATTACAATAAGAACACTTAAGATCGACATAAGTCGCAAAAATTACAGTCATTTATTATCAGTCGATCTAGTCTGTGCCTAACTTCTTTCTCCTGGAATATTTGATATGAGACAAAAGATTCTCATATTCATTACATTACATACACAAAGAGTTTACACAAGCAAAGAGGCCGTAACGCTACGGGCGTTACAGTTCCGTCAGGGGAGACAGGAGTCTGAAGCAGGAGCTATTATTATTTTAAAATAAAACAATGTTCAAAACAGCTTTGATCGTCCAATATTTTTGATTACATATTGTTGACTTTTTATATTTCAGAAACGGTTGTGCCACTAGTGAAGAGTTGTTTTGGAAGTTAGATGCCTTGCAGTGCTTCATAAGAGATCTCCATTGGCCTGAGCCTGAGTTCAGGTCCCATCTGGAGCAACGACTGAAGCTAATGGCCAGCGATATGATGGAGACTTGCATCCAAAGAACTGAGGCATCTTTTCAGGTTAATATGGATTTTATGAAACTTATTTGCTTTTTAAGTTTTCACGCACACCACCCATTAAACAAAACTACTTTTTAACCGTATGAAAATGTGTTTTTAAATGCTTCTTTACTTCGACGTATCCCTTCCTTTCCAGGGTACTCTCAGATGAGCATCCTGAAAAGGATGCGTAACGTAGTTATGTAAAAACGCATTTCAAACCCGTTCAAAAGTGGTTTTATTTATATGAAGCTTATTTGTTTTAAACTGCAAGAAATAAAGATCTAATAACATCTTGTATAACTTATGGAAAACAATAAAGCATTGAGTACTGAGTATTGAAATACACCTACTTAAAGAAATACGTAAGCTTACTGACTTAAACATATTTTTTCCATTACAGTCGTGGCTGAAGAAAAGTGTCACCTTCATGTCGACGGATTACATACTTCCAGCTGAAACATGCGCGATGGTGAACGTCGCATTGGACGCGAAGAACCAGGCACTGAAGCTTTGCGCCGTTGAAGGGGTGGATATTGTAAGATATTATAGACCTAAGGGTAGGAAGTGGGACTCCGCAAGCTGTCGTGGTGGACGGCTGGAGTTTAAAGCACCCACACTTAGGCCCCATTCGGAAGCACCTCAAAAAGTTTAGGCACTTAGAGCTTTTCTTTTGACGCTTTCGCACCAGACGAAAGAGCTTGCCTTAGGTCTCTGCCCTCCTTTCTATAGCTAGCTGACAAAAATAGAAAGCTTCACTTGAAAGATCCTAATGATTTTCTGTTCTGACAGTATCAGTATCACACCAAAATGGACGCTCAGATCGAGGCGTGCCTACAAGCAATGGCGACGGGCATGACTACGCGGTTGTCAGCCGTACTCGAAGCTACATTGGCCAAAATTGCCCGTTTCGATGAAGGAAGGTAACTGCAGATTAGATTATAGCTAAAGAAAATATAACTAGAAAAAATATAACTAGAAAAAAAATCCACGCGGACCAGGCAGCAGATGGGACTCGAACCTATAATGCGAAGAGATGCCGCTGCCTTGCAGCTTAAGAATGGCTAGAAGAATTTCGACGCGGTCCGTGAGGGCCGCGGTAGCATAATTGGTCAGTGCATTCGCCCGGATTGCGATGGGTGCGGGTTCGAATCCCGTCTACTGCCTGGTCCACGTGGATTTTTTTCTAGTTAATTTTTTTTATTAGATTTAAACATCAAGCAGTTACGTGCTTTAAAATAATAAAAATTATAACTAGATTATAGCTATTAACGGGATTGTTACCATGTACCTTGTTTTTTATGAGTCTCCGATATTATTGGTATTGTGTGTCGGGAACAAGTGCGAGTGAATAGTGAGAATGTGACCAGTGACAGGGTTATTGGAGGCAATAAAAGACGACGTCAGAGGATAGACCGATATGTCTGCCAATAACATCTACCCGCAATTACTTCAGTTACTCCCTGATTATGGCGCTTGCAACAGTGCCGAAATATCGAAGACACATAAAAAACAAGGTACATGGTAACAATCCCGTTAATAGCTATAATGTTAGTATCCATGAAAGTTTAACACAATATATTGCAGATTAGATTTCGCGAAAATGTGATAGGATAACAATTAAGTATTAATTAATAATGTTCTTCTCTTTCCAGTTTAATAGGTTCAATTCTAACTATAGCAAATGTTTCGGGCTCCGGCAAAGACATCGGTCAGGGCTACGTCAATTTTATGAGGAACTCAATGGACCAAATCAGATCGAAGGTAAATAACTTAAAATCACACCCTGCCTAAATCAATGTTCTAACTGCAAAATCCACATTTTACAGTTAGGCCGTTTGCAAGTTTTAAAACGTGGATTTATGAAGTGAAAACTTCTTTAGCGGCGTTGTACCATTTTTTGTATGGATAAAAAAAATGAAACTCGCGTCAGGTTAAACACGTGGGCTGATCGCATCATGACACGCAATAAAATTGGAAAGGTTGTTGACTTTCAATATATTGGACGAAACATAGTTAGTTATATTTTATTTTACCGTAAATATTATAATATATTATAATAATAAATTTCTATGTAGGACGTCCACGTGGCAGCTTTATTGCGAAGAAAATGTATTTTTTTTTACAATAGATGTCGCTAGGTGCTCTTAAATGTGATTCATGTAAGTTGATTTTTCTGAGAGATAAACTTTTTAATGTTATATAAATTGTCATGTTTGTGTACGATAGTGCAATATATAAATATTGTATTCTACCACATACAATATAGCACTTTTATACTGATAATTAAATTAATTCGTGCAAAATTATTCTCTAACTATTCCAAAATATCAAAAATGCACAACGTTCATATTCAAGTTTTCACTTCTGCCGGCACTCCCGGAGTGCAACCCGTCGTTTTTTTTGTATTAGGCTGGACGCATATAAACGTTTTCCGCATTCGATTTCCGAATTCGTTTTACGTATTCGGACATCCGAATGCATAAAGTCAGTAGAAAATATATTTCAACTCTTGGAATTAGTTATCTTTACCTGGGTAATATAAAACAAAGACGTGTTAGTTGTAACTAGCCGTTCTTGATTATAAGTGGTGTACCACTTATAATCAAGAACGGCTATATATATTTAAATGAACTTAGAATTTTTGGATTCGCCTCCGTCCCTAAAAGCATACTAGCTATTAAAATATCGAAAAATCACGGAATAAAAGAAAATTAATTTTCACTTAAATAAGGGTTGGTATTGGTATTCCGCCATCTTTCACAATAGGCTAGTTGACTCATGTCGAATTGTATTAAATAAATGTTTATTTCTTAAAGTATTTGGTCTAAGGAACCTAAATATATCGATTTCACTTCATAAAAGCAGAAGATTGCTGTAGAAATTTAATTTAAAAAAAAATTTTTAGTCTATACTTTTTAAACACTAAAAACGCTGTTCGCCACATCCGCCATGATTGTGACGTCTCTTTTAGTAAACAACTAAATGTTATTTATTCGCTATGTGCGAAGTACATGGTGGGGGTATAGTGAAGCGATCGCAGCGCTTATCGTGGCAGAAATACGCAACAATCCGGGAAAGTAAAGTCAATTTGCACGGAGTTCGTAATAAACAAAAATTTTTTAAAATGCCTATTAATAGATGTTGTTGTGTTGTGAATTGCAAAAATAAGGGCACAAATAGTCTGTGTATATATTTCCTACATTGGACTGGAAATTAAATCAAAGAAATAAATGGATAGATGCCATAAAAAGAAATAAGTAAGCGAAATAACCTTAAATTATGATCAATTTTATTTGCGCTATATATTTTATGTGATATTCATTATTGTCTTTATTATTTTAGTGTTGATGGGTCGCCATGGTATCCCAAACCTGACGACACAATTTGTAGTGAACATTTTATGGGAAACAAAAAATCAGACGAGGAAGAAAATCCGAGTTATGCTCCTACGATATTCCCTGAAATATATCGAAAGAGGAAGGTTAATGATTCACAGGTCCTAGCTAGATATACACGCTTGACAAAACGAAGAACCACAAAAGTCTCAGATACCACATCAAGTCAAATAATAATTGAAGAAGGGAGTGAATTAAATCAAACTCAACCTTTTATGATCGATCAAGGATGTCAAGTCAATATGTTTTCTGAATCGAAATTAAGAGATACAACTTTTATTTGTATTAGATTAATTTACAGTGATCACTGTGATCCAACATCAAGAATTTTAATAACAAATAATTCAAGAAAGAAAGATAAAAGCTGTGGCACTGACAAAAAATCGTATGAGGATCAATCTACCGAAACAAAAAGTCAAGAATTTGTTGGTATTTCATCAATAACAAATGATCAAGAACTCCTAGATCCTTCTGGTGTGTCATTTAGCAATTTTGAGTTTTTATTAACAAGATTAACTATGAGAAAATGTACAGTTTCCACTAAAGACCGACTTCTGATTTTTTTGATAAAAATGAAAACTGGCTTGACATTTTCAGCATTGAGTGTGTTATTTGGTGTACAAAAAAACCACAATCTCACGTATATTTTATTCGATCTTACAAAATCTAGCTTGTTCAACTGCTAATTTAATCTTTTGGCCGAATAGAGCCACCGTACAAGCACCAATGCCCAAGTGTTTCAGTCCAGATTACATCAATACAAGAGTTATTATTGACTGTACTGAATTCCGAATTGAAATCCGACATTATTTAAATTATTATACAATATATAATAATTTTTATTTATCTTTACCTTACTATATTTACTAGAAATCAATAAAATACAAACTGATGTCATTATTTGGCATAATCCCGGAAAGTTGCGCATTGTAGGTGGCGCTACTGTCGTGCACATAGCGAATACATAACTTTAAAACTTGTATAACTGATAATAAATGAAGAGACTTAAAATATTATTCAATGAGTACTTACATCAAAGTGATCTTCGCAAAAATAAATTTTACTATGAGTCGATAAAGTTGCAGGATCACTTTTAGCAAGTTCTAACCAGGTAAGTATTGCGTAGGTTAATTTCTTTCGGCACTTTAATCCACAACTTTCCTGGAGTCTTCAAGGATGTGTTTTTACATTCTCGTACAATATAATAATGATAATTACTATATTTTTCGTGGTATCTATTAGAGATCGTGTTTGTTTTTATTATAAACTCAGATAGGTTATTTTCTACGTGCTTACGAGTTTATGTTTACTACCGTCAACGTCATAGCATAGATAATCTATAGACTAAAATGGCTGACAGCGTTTTTGTATGTCAATGAAAAGTCTATTTTAAAATTAAAGATTTGTAACTTTCTAGGTCTCAAAAAATACAATACATTTTTTTCGGTCTAGTAGAACATTTACTAACCATTTAAAACCTTTTTCCAAAAAGGGTCAACTAGCCTATTGGGCTTCACGTGGCACTTCTTATATTTTTTTGTTTTTTATAACCAGTAGGTACTTAAATTTAATCACAAAATACCAATAATAACAAATAAAATAAATTCCTTCAAATAACGTAATTGACTTTCCCATTAGAACTTAAAAAAGTATATATCGATACTTTAGTAAAAGTAAAAAGAACACGTAGGAATAATTCCTCCAGATGAACGAAACCAACTAAGTACGTACAAGCAAGCACTTTCGACGCCGACTAGGCGTAAAGTGCAAAACAAAAATTCACCGTAGCCTATAGACGGCTTGCTTTTCACCAAAAGTATCACTGGTTTGTTATCTTGGCTGCTGTTGACTAACTACAATATCTGTGTCAAAACCATAGCGCGATTCAGGTGAACAGCAGTGCCATCTCTTGACATTTTACGAACTAATCAAAGAATAATTTTCCCTCCGATCTTAAACTGTGAATTTTATTGGATACCTACTAGCTGACCCGGCGAACTTCGTACCGCCTTTTTACCAGTAATTTTTGTTGTTTGGTTACGAAATTATTGTGAAAAGCGAAAACTTGACGGCGGATAAAAAATAGAATATAAATAAAATAGAATATAGGTCTCCTTAAATTCTTAAAAGTGGTCGTAAATAAAATTAACTGAAATAAAAAGAAAATACGTACATGGTCTTAAAAAACATACTTTTGTGCGACATTTTAAAAACTCTAAATAGAGCAAATACCTAGTGACATGCAAAAAAAATATTGTCCCTAATTTTATTTCTTGACGTTTATTTTCTTACAATGGTGAAAAATTAAAAGCGTAGATTGGAGAGTTAGCGTACCAGTGCCAGTAGTCAGTAGGTATCCTTAACTCGTCAATCCAACTAATTTCGGTTGGTTAACAATTTCGTTGGTTCAAGGGCTGGGGGGGGGGGGTCGTGACCCCATAACCCCCCGCCCCCCCCCCCCCCCTTGGGTTGGTTGGTTCTGCTAGGATGCCAATTTCCTAGTGCAGTATGGAGATGTTAAAATTAAAATTTGTAATATAAAAAGGCCAATGAACCTAAATTCTTAAACAAAACTCTACTAAAAAATATTCGAATGCATGGATGGGGCTTCGATGCGCATCTTTACTTACCTAGGAACCGTAATATCGGAATTATAAATTGACTGCTGACAACTGATGAAAATCAAAAATCGAAATTATTAAGGCATTTACTTGCGTAAATCATATTACCTGCTGTTAATCAAAATAAAATAATAAAAATTATGTTTTAATTTATCTATTGACTGCACTTACTGAAAAAATGTATGAAATGAAAAATTTTTAAACAAAAAATAAAACCGACTTCAAAATCGGAAATGGAACTAAAATTGGAAGTCGGGTGGGTCAAGATTAAGTCGTATTATTACCGATCAGAAACGAAAATCTATTTATGTTTCAATCTTGACCATCCGACTTCCAAATTATGAATCAGAAATATTTTTTTACTTTTTAGTTCCATTTTCGATTTTGAAGTCGGTTTTATTTTTTGTTTAAAAAAAATTTTCATCCCTTTGAGTGAAAAATACATCGTTCAAGTAAACAATAACACAACTGACGGAGAAATCGGTGAACTTGCATAAAAAAAACATCGTGCGTGCCTTTGAAATTTGAAGGTTTCCCTCGATTTCCGCGGATTCCACCATCAGATCCAGACTTGGTTCCAATAGGACCACTTCGGAAGTGCACTCTTTCGAATAAAAAAAGAATATTGGAAATCAGTCCACAATTAACGGAGAAATCGATGAATATACATAGAAAAAAATACGAACACAGAACCTCCTCATTTTTTGAAGTCGGTAAAAAATGCAGCGCGCCCGCCTGAATAGCGGAGGATGTAGGATCGACCTGGCACCAAGTGTAATAAAATTTCTAGTAAGATTTTTCTTACCAGAAAATAAACAGGATTAAGCCTTGGTTTAAATGAAAAACATTGGTGCAAGTAACCCTTAGTTTCTGCAGTACTCTGCTTTGATAAGGACTGTAGGGGAATCCATCATTTTATCGCAATTCCTTTCAACGATTTTCATTATCCATAAAACGAATCGCAGTTTCTTTTTCCAATATTTAACAAACCCTAGAATTAGGTTACATCGCATTTTCGTTTCCTCGAATATTTATTATCTACAAACACAGTTCATCGTTATGTCTTTTCATGTTTTATACATTTTATCGAAATAAATGTTACATCGAAGTTTTGTTACCCATATTTTTGTTTCATCGTAAGTTTGCAAAATAAGGGAAACATCAATTTTTACTTCAAAAAATCAATGTATGCATCGAAAAAACGATTTCATGATATCTTTAGTAAAAAAAGGTATTTAAAATGACTCAGTTTACCCAAAAGCCACCTAGTCTTATCTGCCTTACCCCTAGAGTGCAATTTAAAAGTGCGAAGGCGCGGAAGGGCGAGGCGGACTAAACTGTACTTTCAGGGTGTGGTGACACTTCACACTAGGTTAGGTTAGGTTAGTGTTGTGACCATAACACGCCAAAAAAAATTTTTTGAAGTTATACTTCTTTAGGCGCATTATGAAAAAATGATGAGAGTGAAATTTTAAGATGCGCGCGCATCATTTCTATCCGTGCGGTGACGGAGAAAGAATACAACTCACCGCCCCTTCTCTTCCCGTGGGTGTCGTAAGAGGCGACTAAGGGATATCGGAGCTTCCATCCGCTCTGCTGGTGGTAGGGTGCCTAACACCCGCCTGGTTTGTTACCACCGTGCGCATGGTGAAAAACCCGTGAAGTGCTTGTCGCGCGTTTCGGGGTCAGCCAGCGTACAACCAGGGCTCGAGTGGAGGTTGTCGCGACGGATTCGGTCCAGGGCTAGGCATCCGTGGAACCGATGCCGGGAGGACTGCATCGACCCGCCGGCCAGGGAGACCCGTAGAAACGGCTGTCCCGCTGGCCGCCCGTGGCACAGTACAGGGGCCCGAGCGTTCCTAACCAGTTCGCGAGGCTGCCCCATCATGTCACGCATAATCTCGGGGTGGACCGTCGTGCCGGTTGGTGACCGGGGCGTGGGGTCCCGGCGGCCACTTCCGGGGGGGTGCGGGGGCCCTTCCGTCCGGCGGGTCGGCGTATATCCTCTGCAGGCAATCATTCGGGGAAACATGCCTCCCTAATTTGCCCGGTCTTGTCGCGACAACGTCCACTCGTTTCACGTCTCTTTTTCACTTCCATAATGGCAGCTCCTAAAACAAAGTTTGGACGTTCAGCGGTGCACACCCCCACGCCTTCAACGCTGTTTGAGGTCGAGTTCTGCAACATACGCGGACTCCACTCTAACCTCAACGCTGTCCACCACCATCTTGAGACAGCACGGCCAGCATTGTTGTTCCTGACGGAGACACAAATACTTCCGCCTGCTGACACAGGCTACCTTAATTATCCCGGCTACGTGCTTGAAGAGTCCTTCAAAGCGAAAGCCGGTGTATGCCTGTATGTTCGGGCGGATGTTTGTTGTCGCCGTCTCCGCTGCTTGGAAGATCCCTCCTTCTCCATGCTGGGGGTACACGTCGTCTCTGGCCCCCTGGCCAGAGTTTACGTGTGTCTCTACAGATCCCACACCGGCGATGTTGAGACAACTCGACTTTTTGAACACCTTAGTCGGGCAGCAGATGACGCGCAGGAACAATTTCCCAATGCAGAATTGGTGTTTTTGGGGGACTTTAATGCTCACCACAATTTGTGGTTAAGTTCCTCCAAAACTGACCATGCAGGGATCTCTGCTCATGCATTCGCTCTCATGCATGACTTGAAGCAACTGGTTGATCAGCCCACCAGGATCCCAGATATTCCAAGTCAAGCGCCTTCTTTACTGGACCTTCTGCTCACGACCCATCCACAGGGCTATCAGGTTGTGGTAAGAGCCCCCTTGGGCTCGTCAGACCACTGCCTGATATCTGCCAAAGCACCACAGGCCAAGCCTCCGCGTCCAGCAGTGGTCAAGCGCCGTATCTGGCATTATGGGTCGGCAGATTGGGACGGTATGCGTGACTACTTTGCGTCCGTCCCTTGGAAGCAGCGCTGCTTCAGTGACAGGGACCTATCGGCCAGTGCCGTTGCCATTACTGAGGAGGTTATAATGGGTATGGAATACTATATTCCTCATTCTGATCTCATCAGTAAGGGCACGCGTAACCTCTGGTTCAATCACGACTGTGCTGAAGCTGCTTCGCGTAAGCAAGCGGCATATCGTGCTTGGATCAGAGGTCGCGCTCTCAAGGATCCCGAGGTCGATTCACTCAAAGCAGCCTACAATTTTGCTTCCAAGGCCTGTAGGAAGGCTTACATTAGAGCGGATGCCCAGCGCGTTGCACGTGTTGGCCAGGAACTTATGACGCATCCTACGGGTTCCCGTAGCTACTGGCGTCTGGCCAAGGCCGTGCAAAAAAACTTCTGCGAGCCCTCGCTGCCACCTCTGAGATGCCCAGACGGAACACTAGCCCATAAGCCGCAGGAGAAAGCCGATTTACTGGCAAAACTCTTTGCGGCTAACTCCCGAATCGATGATTGCAATGCACTGCCACCATCATTACCTCACTGTGGCACAACGATGCCTGATATTAAAATCAGGCAGCGCGAGGTTCGTGCCGAATTGCAATCACTCGACGTCCGGAAAGCTAGTGGACCTGATGGCATCCCAGCAGTAGTACTCAAAAAATGTGCAGCGGAGTTGTTTCCCGTGCTCACGCGCTTGTACCAATGCTCGTATTCTTTGGGGCGTGTGCCGGAGACTTGGAGAGATGCCAATGTGCAACCAGTGCCCAAAAAAGGGGATCGCTCAGACCCGGCAAACTACTGGCCAATAGCAGTCACCTCAGTTTTATGTAAAGTTTTAGAAAAGGTCCTTAATAACCATCTGACCCGCTACCTAGAGGATCACTCCTTGATTAATGATCGTCAATATGGTTTTAGACCGAAACGATCGACGGGTGATCTTCTAGCGTACTTAACTCATATCTGGGGTGAGGCTATCGACAAGCGTGGCGAGTCGTTGGCTATCAGCCTTGACATTGCCAAGGCGTTTGACAGGGTCTGGCACAAAAGCCTTCTCTCCAAGCTTCCGGCATACGGTCTGCCAGCCCAGTTCTGTTCTTGGGTAGCTGACTTCCTGCATGAGCGTAGAATTCGTGTCCTTACGGATGGTAGCAGTTCGCGGTTCATGTCAGTGAATGCCGGCGTTCCCCAGGGCTCCGTCCTATCCCCCACTCTCTTTCTGCTGCATATCAATGACTTAATTCCTCTTGGGAATATTCATTGCTATGCAGACGATAGTACAGTGCATGCGGGGTATCTCGGACAAGCAGCGGCTGGGCTGGCGGTAACCAAGGAGAAACGCGAGAATCTTGTCATTGAACTCAATCAAGCTTTGGACCACATTTCCGAATGGGGTACCAGGAACTTGGTTGAGTTCAATGCCAAAAAAACTCAGGCTTGCGCCTTCACGGCAAAAACATCGTCATTCCTTCCCCTTCCATCTCTTCAGGGCACAACACTACCGCTGCAGAGCAACATTTCCATGCTCGGTATGGAAGTTCGCTCAGACCTGAATCCAAAGAACTACATCGAAACCGTGATCAAAACAGCTTCACGCAAACTCGGAGTCCTGAACAAGGTGCGGCGTTTTTTCACGCCTGATCAACTGTGCTTGTTGTACAAAACGCAAGTGCGGTCCTGCGTGGAATATTGCTCGCACCTCTGGGATGGCTCCGCCAAGTACTTGCTCGATGCTTTGGATAGGTTACAGCGACGCGCGATCCGCATCATAGGCGATGAGGAGGTGACTAAACACCTTGAGCCTCTTCAATTACGCCGTGACGTGGCGTCACCAGTCGTAGTAGAACCAAAAACCACATCTTTATTTTTTGTAATAAAGTAACTGTTATAGGTATTCATATTTATAATATTTATCCACATGTTTCTAGTTTGTATATTCGGAATACGTGTTTGAGTTTCATACAAGTGCAAATCACATATGTTCTAATAAATTATATTCAGTAGCGATTTTAATTGAATATTTTGATTATTTATTTATTTTTTCAAATTAAAACTGAACTTTATTGACTGTGTCCTTTTCCAGACTTTTTATTAGTTTATTGTAATTAATTATTTGCATGCAATTAAAAACTAATTTTAAACGATGCCAAAGAAGGATAACTTCTCACGCGCCTACATAAGTACACGCACCCATTTTTTTTTAAAAGAGACCTTTTCTACAAAAATAATGTATCATTCGATGAAGCGTTATTGCAATAAAAAGTTGTTATGTGAAAAAGTATTATGGGTTTCGATACATATTACAACATGTTTTTACGAATAGTTTTATCGATAATTTAATACTTTTACGAAATGTAGGTTAGTTATACCGTTTTTCTGGTAATCAAAACAACTTTAAAAGTTTTTTTTTTTGTCAAGAAACGTTTTTCGATGATATGAAACAGCGATTATTAAAAATTCGATAAATTGAAAAAAAATATATTAAAAATCGTGGAATAGTTTTCGGTGAAATGAAAATCGATATCAAAAAAATCTGTATTCTGATAGACACCCGGACTGTAGATATCAGTAGGGAATTTAATAGCCTAATGATGATATTGAACTATAAAAAATTCTGCAGGTGACAGACGAACTGTGGATTCTACAATTGTTTGAGCACTGGTACGGCATCCAGGTGGGGCTCATCAACACTTGGCTGGGGGAGCGGCCCGCCCTTCATCCTCAACAAGTGGCCTGCCTCTCTATCATACTGAAGGTATAGATCATCATATCCAGACTTACCTAGTTGTAAGTGGTCGAGCACTGGTACGGCATCCAAGTGGGACTCATCAATATTTGGCTTGGCCTTCACCCTCAGCAAGTGGCCTGCCTCTCTATCATACTGAAGGTATACATCATCATATCCACGAGAAATAGTTGTTACTAACATTTTTGATGATTAATTGTAGCTAAATTAAAAAAATGTTTAATAATAATGATATGCCAGCGAGAGACAAATAGATAGAAATAGTTTTTACAAACAGGATAACAGCAATGTTCATGGTCATTAAGTTCATTAGTCTAATATCCGACGACCTCCGTGGCCGAGTGGTTTGTACGCCGGGTTTCATGGCTGTCGCCTACTCGAGAGGTCCCGGGTTCGAATCCCGGTGGGGGCAGATGTTTGTGTGATGAATACGAGCATTTGTGATGGATGTTTAATATGTATTCCTATATAAATATACATTCCATAACACAAGCCTTATAGTGCTTACTTTGGGGCTAGGCTAATTGGTGTGCGTCGGTTTTTTTTTTTTATTTTATATAGAATGTTTAATAATAAGGATGTGGTGGCGACATCTACACACCGCACGTATAACTAAGGAGGAAGGCATTACTCGCCTTGCTAACAGATGGCACTACTGGCCGAAAGGAATGGCAAACACAAAAAAACCTACCTTTTTATTATTTCACAGAAAATGTACAGCGACTTCGAGCTGCAAGGTGTGATAGATGACAAACTCAACTCCAAGGTGTACCAGAATGTGGCAGCGCGGATGCACACCGAAGAAGCTACCTGCAGTCTTCTGCTGGCTCAGCAAGATACAGGGTATATAATTTAGTTACTTACTTCATTCAGAATATTATGAGTTATTTCATAAATTCTGTTAATTATCTTATACAAAAATTGGTACACGCAAACAAGCAACACTTGAAACCACTCATACGCAAAGAGGCATCTTCTTGCAAAGTACTCCCACAAGGATGGTATCTGGGACCTCTTGTTTTCGTTATTTGAAAAACGAACACTGACATATTTTTGTTGATATTTACCACAGATTGCTGATGATATTTAAATATGTAAAATTATTAACAACATTAATGATGCTTCCAGACTTCAGGAAGAGGACAGGTCAGATGCTTATAGTCGCCGAAGTAAACTTAACCAAACTGTATAAAATGCTTTTCCATCAGCTTCACTCGCAGAACACATAATATAGTCACATTATTAGAAACTAAATGAAATACATACTTTAACACATGGGAGCCTTAGGCGGCCCCAACTTGAGTCCACGTGTGATTTATTATATTAATCATTCATAACGATAGTCAGTGCAAAAAAATGGTCATCAGCTGTAATTTAATACCATTGCAATATATTTGTTACTGCTTTGTCCACACAAAATAGTGAGAGCAAAAAACATATTCTCTTATTCTTAGCTTTAGGTTTTGCGGGCATCAAAATACCGTTTCAAAAAATACTTTTTCTTTTCTATTGGATTTCTGTAGGAGCCAATTTTATTTTGTAACCGTAGTGGGAAAGTAGTTAGCAATCACGCTTTTTAGATTTTGTGAATACAATGTTATTTTATTAAATATTATACAGGTAAAGTGAAAGCAGAGTAGAATTTGGAAAGGATTACAGGCCTCAAAATAATTGAAACACCGTGACCAAAGCATTGTGAAGTTTCTCATCCTAGAATAATAACGCCTATTCTAAGTTCCACACTATAATAAGGTATCGATAAATATAGGTATGACTTTTATTAGATTAATTCATGATTAAGTAGATGTTCAAATCACGTTGGGGTCACCACAGTGGGAAGTGAAGTAAAATGACCAAACTACGAGAATAATTAGCAACACTTATCTATTGTGACTCCGAGATTTCCATTAATGAACTTCTTGGTAGTCAAAGATAAGTTTTTTGACGCATTTGACGCAGCAGACATAGAGAGAGCCATGGAGGTTAGAGAGAAGGAAAATAGTGTCACTGAAATATGGACAAAATAAGTGAGACGTTGCGATCGTTAAGTTGTCTCAATAAAAGCGGCCTGTTGTGCGCTAATTTGAAATGACCAATACCGTGAAGAAAATTTGTACAATATAACTAACTTCATCTACTTGTACTCATAAACAGCTAAGTTCACAGATACTACTTACCGACGACAGCGCGGCTGGTGACTGAAAAATGAACTATAAATTCTACAAATTTTAAGGGACAGGCGGGCTAATGCTTTAGCAGGTAGCGATCGTTATCCTTCTCTCTAACCTCCATGCAGAGAGCTCTTTAGACCATGTCTCAAAGAAAAAAATGACATCAGTAACATATATTAGCGAGGGCGAAAATCGCCATAGTACTCATCATTGTTAGTCCTTAGGAGCTGACTAAACGAAGAGATACCTTGTAATTACCAGAAGGTAAGTCAGAGAGTTCTAGGAACCCACCTACCTACCTTTAAAGGCTACCTACTCTATTAAAAGTTAGTTTTAATCAAAGTGTGTAGTAAAAAGAGGCAAGTGTTTGAAACGATGAGTTTCATAAGTCTGTAGATTTTTCACTAAATAGTCTAACTACACACACAACATAAAAAACGCTTGCGTTACCAGAGCATTACTTGCGCGTTGCCTCATCATCTTCAGCCTATTAATGCCCCCACTGCTAGGGCACAGGCCTTCCCTATGTGGTATAGGGATATTGGGATATAACCACCATGTGGGCCCAGTGAGGATTAGCGGGTGCTAACGACTGCAGATGCAGCCGGGACCAACGACTTAACGTGCCTTCCGAAGCACGGAGGACCTCGAGATAGAAGAATTTAGGTCACCCATCCAATGACCGACCACTGTAAAAGTTGCTTAACTTCAACGATTGCAGCAGGCCGCGCTAACCAACTGCGCCATCGAGCTCCTCGTTGCCTACTTTGACTCTATCACCTACCTCGTAGAGTGTATAGCGCTGCAAGCTGGATCCAACAAGATGGATAGCGCTTTGGACTGAATGAAGGATAGAATAGACAGATAGACAGAAAAACGGATGGTCAACGAATGCTTATTAATAGGGTTCCTTGTCTCTCATTAGGAGTACGGAACCCTCGTCTAATGTTTGCATCGTGTCTGACTAAACCACAGTCCAAAAAAAGCGTTTCTGTAACAGTTGCTTTGCATATTTTGTAAGGCGTCGTTATTGTAAAATATTTTTGTAGGCGTTCAAAATAATAATAACATGTTTGAATAACTAATACTAATATACCTCCGTGAATTGTTAAAAAGGAGTCGCGTATTTATTTATAATAGTATGATTTTATCGAGTGCCTATAAAGTAGATGCTTTAATTTATTCTACCTTGGACGAATAGGTATCTACCCAATAATCACCAAGCTTTAATTGTACTACTGTATCATCGACGTGCTATCTGTATATTTTTGTTTGGTCAGACGATTCATTTAAATTTTGTTTTGACATCATAGTAGAGTACTATTTCAAACATGAGCGAAATCGATGTAGGCGCGCGCGGGATGTCTCTGTACCTGCACTGTACCCTTAGTACGAGTTTGAGCTCACGAAAACTATCATAGTTTTCGTAATTGTAAATAATGTTTCTATATCCATTTTGGTGAAAAGTGTCCAAATATACTTAAAATTTAAGAAGACACAAATGATTTAATGGTTGAATTTAAACACTGTTTATTTGTACTAAAACGAAAACAATAAAATCAATAAGCGCGAGCTCACGAAAACTATCATAGTTTTCGTAATTGTAAAACTCGTACTAAGGGTACTGTACCCCTAGCACGAACCAATATCGAATTCGAATAGATTGCGAGTGCGATATGTCATTGTCAAATTTTGTATGGCACCTTGAACAGCAGCGCCGAAACGGACGTAACGAGAACTAAAATTCAGTACCTACTCATTTGACAATGACATTTCGCACTCGCAAACTATTCGAATTCGGTATTGGTTCGTGCTAATGGTACTGAAACCTGTACCCCTAGTACGAACCATTATCGAATTCGAATAGTTTGCAAACCGAAATGTCAATGTCAAATTTTGTTTGGAAACTTGAACAGCAGCGCCACTTTGGACGTAACGGGAACTAAAAATCAGTACACATTTGACAATGACATTTCGGACTCGCAAACGATACGAAATCGATATTGGTTCGTGCTAATGGTACTGAAACCTGAACTCCAAGCACAAACTTTGACAGCTCCGTAACCTAATCGTTCGCTCATCATCTTCAAATTTTGTATGGAAGAAGCCAGTTTGTACATCCGGTAGGGCACTACTTAGTTTCCATAGAAATTTTGACGATGCGATGTTTACGGAGTTTAAACATTTTCTTGCTTCGAGGCCTGTGCGCTGCCTTTGAATCACAAAATAGACACTACTCAGGTTTCAATAATTAACTAACACAGTGATAATTTTCTGATTTCTCAATGGTGCCATGAAACAGTGGTGGTGATGACGGGGGCTCGGAGGAGGGCTCCAGGAGCGGCAAGTCGAAATTAGAGTCGCTCACGGAGGACGCCAAACTGGGCAATGTCACGGCGGTTGTCGGGAAGGTACATAAATTAACATTATATTATTATTCTCTTCACTTATAGTTTTCTTGAACAGCGGACTTAGGTATACAATATAATCTAGATCAAACCCCCTTTGTGATTTTCTTGAGAACTAAAGAAAAGAAAGGGGATTTCTCTTCCCTTTTCAAATAATGGAGGTAGAATTAGGGATGGCGATCTGAGATCGATTAATCGAAGAATCGATTTTTTGAGCCAAAAAGATCGATTTTATTAATCGATATGTAGTACAGAATCGATTCACTGAATCGATATTTCGCCCTTGAAAATCGACATTCGATTTTATTTTATTTGTTTGAGATAAACCAAAAAAGTATTTACAATTATTTGAATATACCCGTTATAAGAGTGCTGTCGGTAACGGGGTTATTTTAAAAAAAATCGCTAATGGCTATATGTTTGGATCTCTTTTTAATAAAAAAAGTTACGTTTGTTTGTAATCTTTGAATAAAAATATTTTTTATCATCAAATCACCTGATTTTACTGATAAGAGATCGTTAAATTGTAATATGTATCTTGTTTTTAATAAAATAGACTTATATTACATTATAAACAAAAACTTAAAACAAGATCGATTTTTCAGAAATCGATCTTATTGGCCCCGATTATTTTGTGGATCGATTCAGTAGGTCACGATTCGAATCGATTTAAAAATCGATCTTTTTTGGAAAGAATCGCCATCCCTAGGTAGAATTTTAAGACAATTGACGTAATAAAATAAAAAGCGCGAAAAGACGGTGTGATCAGTAGGTATTCAAAATGATTTCCCCGTTTTTGGGGTGTTAAAATTACTTATAAATAAAATTCCTTTTTATTTTTTATTAATTTGGCCATTGATATTTTAGATTCCAGAAAAAGAATTTTAATATACCTATTTTAAAACAAATTGAGGAATAATTAATTTTAAAAAATCCTTAGGTCGGCAACATCTTCGGTCGCGGCATCGGCGAGCTGTCGACGAAGCTCGGCGGAGCCTCATCTTGGTTTTAGCGCATTTCAAACCCTCACAAAATTCACTTTTATGTCAACATACCTTACTTTGCCTATATCGATGTACTGAGATGAAATTTTCAAACAGCTCTTTGTTTTTGCATTAACATAATACTTTAAAAAAGAAAAGACATGTAAGTAGATGTCAATGCAATAGCAAAAAGCTTTTAAACTGTTCTGTGATGAAGAAACCTTCTTTTGCATTCGATTACATTCTAGAATGTCAGCCATTTTAAGAATAGATAATCGAAATAAAGGCGTTACGCGCTAGTTTAAATGTAAGTGGCCAGTTTACGCATAGCTTAGTGTGATTACTAATTAGAATAAACAAGGTGTAGATTTTATTTTATAAAAGCTTTATGTACAGTTAGGGTCATCATTTATTTATTGGAACAAATAACATGTAATAAATGTTAAGAGTAGTATTTGATATCACGATGAAATATGGTAATAAAATATTATATATAAATGCATACATTAACACAATGCTACAATAATAAAACATATCGCTTTGGCAAATTTATTATGTTGTGTGTTGTAATATGACGACGGGAATATTATTATTTACAAATATATAAAGAGAAGTATTGTAATTAATGATTAATATAATGGGAGGAACGTGAATGATTGTTGGGCGTATGTAATCCTTATTCGATTCCTTGCAAAATTTTGTTTGTTAAAACTTTTTAAATATTGTTATATTTATCACTCTTAAATCTATTTCATTGTTAGACGTGTGTGTCGTCATGATTCGTGTGTCGACGTTGAATCACTTCCATTTTACCAACATAACGAGTAACACAGAAGCACTTATATAACTAGTTCCAAAAAAATGCAAATTTTTCATTCATCTCTTTCTATGCAGAAGCAATATTTTTCTAAATAATACAATCCACTTTTTAAAAATCGGTTTGATCTCCTATTTAAATTGATACGGTGCATTTTCATAAAAATTAAACAAGGGCGCGAAAATACGCAACTTATTTTTCGATCATAAAATGTTGCCATTAATAATTATAACTGACCCAGTTTTTTGGGAAATAATTTTTATAAAAATGCACATTTAAATTAGCCACTTATTGCTGTAGTAATAATTCTCTACTATATTTTAATGCTCTGTAGATCTAGTAACGTCTTACCTTGACTAGTATCAAATAATAACTATTTATAAAAAAGTACTATATAGTTATATTTGTTAACAAAATAATATTCTTCTACGCTAAACACCTTACAAATTTTTGAACTAGAAAGTTTAAATTTCTTAGATAAATAATAAGTCAATAAAAGAGCGATTAGTCGCTAAGCTGAGTCGCCTTAAATTGTCTTGTTGGAAATGGCTAAGAAATAGTACAGATTGTGCGAGAACAACTCTAATACTTTATTTGTACAAATGTTTATTAACACCTTATTTACTCTTGGAAATTAACCTTTACGTGAATGTTCAATCAACCAAGCATCCCCACCCTTTCAATCTTACTGTCATACTAGTATTCATCTAATTCATTTTAATATTTATTGACTATTTTTACATCTCCTTGCCTTTTTTAAAAAGATGTTTGTATTATACTCGACAACGATTTTGCAAATTTTCGGTTTTAATTGTACCTTTTTAAGTGTAGTAAAATGAAAACTTTATTTTAACATCATCAAAGGAATGATAAGGAGATTAGTAAATTAATGGATACAGAGATTGAGCTGTTTTTGTTCACAAATTAAACATGATTTATTACTTACTTGTTGCAACAGATATGTTATTTTTTTATAATTTTAAAAGTTTAATAGGAACAGGGCAAATCCCTTACAAATATTATATTTTTTATAATTATACGCTATCTTTGTTTTGCTTCAAGTTACTCGGTAGTTAATAAGAAAAGCAAGCTGTGATTCTAATAGTCATGCTAAATCAAAATTTTAACACACGACTCTTTGGACACCGAAAGTCGTAAAAGAAAAAAATATACACGAACAGTTCAAGCTCTGTGTCCTATGCATAACTTAATTACAATATTTACAATAGGACATTAACAACACGGCACAGTAATTAAAGGGAAGTAGAGCTCACTAAATAGCATATTATAGTAACTTGGTTAGATTTAATATGAATCGCAGTTTTTCTATGCTAAATGATATTTAATAAGTAGGTATCTTGCAAACAGTATTTTTTTTCTTTTGGGAACAACATTATTTATCTCTCAGGTAGAGCAATACTTGTGAGATAAATAATGCAAGTAAAATTAATGTCTAAGAATATGCTTTTTCATTTGTTTCAATACCCGATTTACACAACATACCTACTTATTTACTCATATCATTGAATGATTATTATATTTGCTATGATATAGGTTTCCATAAAAGAACTACATTAGTACCTACTTCTAAATTGATATGGTAACTTTTTTATTATATTTTTTTTATTTATGATAATTTAAAATCTTACAAATAATTAATTCATTATTTTTATTCTGATTTAGGTTCGTTAAATTGTAAAAAATATATAGTAACTTGAGCACTTTTAGTTTTGTTTATCCAAAGTGATTGATAGTAAAGCTCAATCGGATTATAAAGTCAGTTCCGTAGTGTCTAAGTGCATTAAAATACGAGCCGACTGAAATGTTATGTAGAGATGCTTGTATAATTTCGCAAACGGTAGAAGGAACTCGTAATGGCAATTCAAAAATGAAATCTTAACACGTGCCTATTCAAGTATTAGTCATTCAAAATAGAAGTAAATGATACACTTTAGCATGAGCTGGTGCCATGACGAGTTTCGATGAGTGCTTTGAGAAGCCACTGAGTGCATCGCGAATATAAGGGGATACAATAAAATATTTACAATAAAAATGTTTACTGTTCCTTTGTTATTTTATTTGTTAATCCTGTGCCCTTAGCACGAACCGTTATCGAATTCGAATAATTTGCTAGTGCAAAATGTCATTGTCATCAAAGGGCATCGACGAAATCGGCCCCAGCATGCGCAAACGAATATTCTTCACTATTATTTTTTTTATTTATTAGCAATTAATCATAGAAAACGGACATTCTGTTGAAAAAATTAAAGTTCTGTAACCTGAGACTAGACAATTTTCTGTTTTTTTAATGCATTTCTATTCCATTTTGAATAGATAGCCTCAAAATCAATAATACATTCCAAAGTAGGCTACGGTTCCTCAGGTTGTCCATATTTCAACAAATGCCTAATGAGAGTTTATTCAGAATGATTCCGAACACAACTAGCATTTTCTCATTGCTGTGCGTTCTGGGGCATTCAATGTATGGGGAACGAGCAATGTCCTTTGATCCAAATTCGTTCGGCCCTTTTCCGATTTAATCAAGCCTGCAGTAAAATACTCCCCAGTAAAATTTACTATACCTTTTCACTCCGTTAGTTTCAAAGAACCCTGATACATGGTTATGCTTTATTTCCGGTCTCAAGTAGAGGGGTTTTCCAAAAATAAATGTTTGTTTTCGAATAAAAAAAAAATGTTTTCAATAGCATTGGGCATTTTGTGAGGAATATGACATCGTTTAAATTATCACCTCAGCTTGCTATGGTCGCCTGAATACGAAAAGCCCGATCTTCTTCACTTTTTGACATAATGACACTGTATACGGTATTGTCATACCTGTCGGTGACTCTACCCTGCTCAAACCAAATATCTCACAGATCAGGTTCATACAATTGTGGACAAAAAGAAATCTTAATTATGAACCAGTCCTGATCACCAATTCACAATTAAGGCAGCCCTTGTTCTTTAAAACTACGGACAACATAGTCCCTTGCCAAAAATACGCATCAGATAGTCACTCTCTCAATGTCTACGGCCTTTCATGGACATTTTAAGGATTTGAAAGCCCAAACCGGTAGTTATAAATTATTTCAATATTTGACAAAATATTGTCCCTCCCCACGACAACTACGTTGACCACAAGTTTCCCATAACGCACAAAATATTTCATGAATTGAACTACCGTTTTGACAATATTTTTGAATGATATTAACGTGTTGCTCAACTGTATAGCGACTGGTATTATAAATGCCGAAACTTCAATAATGTATCTATCAAAAAGACGATCTAATATGTCCACCATAGACTATCAGATATACCCTTTTCCTATTGGAAAACCCTGTATATGTAAAAAATGAGTTTTTAAATTAATCGAAATGCGCGTTAAAATCCATATCCAATCCATCATCCATATAAAAACTTGGGCACCCTGCAATAATATTTAAAGGTATTTTAGGCAAAAAAAAAATGCAAACTTTATTTAGATAAAGTATTTGTACCAATGTTTTAAGTCAATTAACTCAAAGAATAAGATTTGTCATGCAAACTTTCATCCCCTACATTAAACCCTGGGGGGAGGGGGGGGGTGAATTTTGAAAAATCCTTTCTTAGTGCACCCCTAGCCCCTAGACCTCATAAGGAACATAGATATCTATGTGCCAAATTTGGAGTCTCTAGACCCAGCGGTTTGGCCTGTGCGTTGATTGCCTTTTATATAATATTTAGTCTTAATTTTATTGCCACCCGCAACTCGTCCGCGTTGATAATTTAGTTTTTGATAATTTCACAGAAACTTATTTTTTTTCCGGGATAAAATCATCCTATCTCTCAATCCAGGTCACAAACATAGTTTACCAAGTTTCATCCAAATAAGTTCAGTAGTTTCTGCGTCATCAAGTAACAAACATATAAACTTTCACATTTATAATATTAAACTAGTTTGTTTTAATATTTACTTTAAATTAAGTTTTTAGAAAATCTCACAAAAACATATTTTTCCGGATTAAAAGTATCCTAAGTCTCTATCCAGATTATAAACTATAAATGCGTCTAAATTTCATCAAAATCCGTTCAGTACTTAGTTTTTGCGTGATTGAGTGACAAAACATACAAGGTTTCACATTTATAATATTAGGGGGATAAACATGTTGCATAAGTTGTAGTTAATAAAGAATGAGTATTTTTTGTAGTAGCAACTAGTTCTACTCTATTACTCGAACGTTTTTCTACCGCATTCCACCCCTTTACCTCGTAGAATACTGTGAATATGCATGCAGAAACCCTACACAAAACTAAAAAATTAAGTTGTGATTATACGTAGATATCAAGAAGCTTATATACAACACTGGAGATTGCATGTAGAACTTCTGTGTGAAGATGAGTTCATTAACCCCATGATATGTTTTTTATCTCTCTCACACACTATCTGAAATTACCATGTTAAATACAAGAAATTCCAATCAGAAAGTGAAAATAAACAGAACTATGCAAGATATCAATCAGTTTTACAATCTCCAGAAGTCCTACTCTTGTATTACTATTATAAGATGAGTGTGACAAATTCTAACCAACTACTTTGAAATCAATATTTAAAACTAAATAATAAATACGCCCTTTATTTCCCTGTTTGCTGGTTGCTACCATTTTGGTATAATAGCAACACTAATTAAAAAATCAACTGAAGAATATCTCCGATCTGTCAAAAAAAATCTACCGCTTCGAATGTTTAGATTATTATTAAAAAGTGTTAAATTGTTCAATTTGCTATTTATAATATGTATTGTGTTGTGTGAGATTGCAGAAGTGTTTGGGAACCAAATTCCAGCACTAAATTTCACAGGTAAGTCTATTACATTACGCCAATACCGAAATTAACATATTCCTATATTTTTATGTTGTAATCATAATAAAACGTTAGTATTTATAAATCATAGTGTCCTGAGGCTATAAATTAACGTTATTCTTGTTTTATTCACTACATTTGGTACCATATTCAGCAGTTTATTAAATTAAAATAATATAAATTTTGGTTTTGTAGGGTAACCATTATCACTACACTTGAGATATTTTGAGAAAGTTAAAATACATAAGTATTATTGTAAATAGTAATTATAAAGTTCAAAATATGAAAATAAGTTTATAATAAATACTGTAGTAGATCATGTTGATTAGATGTAGAAAACCTATTTAATAACAGCTATCTAGCAGCGGTCTTATACCTTTGTTTATGTTTCAGCTTCCCGAAAGATATCATTAAAAGAAATTCTTGGTTGTCCATTATACTGTCACAAACGCTCTCGAAACGGAACCGCGAATGTGCTAGAGATCGAATTAGCCAGAGCACCGCGGGTCGCAATAGAAGTCGAGTAAGGCGGCTTATTCTAAAATGAGCCTTATGCAGTGCGACGTAAAGGAGAAAGTGCAACGATATCTGCACTTCTTTACAAGTTATTCGTGTTACTTGCTTAGGTATAAGTAGATATTTCGTACTCGCGGGTGCTAGGTAATTCTCAATTTAACAGGTACTTTCTAGAACTTCGACTTTCGACGACCTCCGTGGTCGAGTGGTTTGTACGCCGGGTTTCATGGTGTCGCCGACTCGAGAGGTCCCGGGTTCAAATCCCGGTGGGGACAGATGTTTGTGTGATGAATACGAGCATTTGTACTCCAATCATGGATGTTTAATATGTATTTCTATAAAAAAAAATATACTTATATATATAAGTACAGTTTATGTATTCTATCCGTTACCCTAGTATCCCATAACACAAGCCTTATAGTACTTACTTTGGGGCTAGGCTAATTGGTGTGAGTGTTGGAAATATTTATTTATTTATTTACTTTCTAGAATGCATCGATCGGCGTATATAAGGGCGATTGGCGCAGCGCAGAGACAGTTGAGTTTCAACAGCGATTTCGGAGCGAATCCAAAGGCGATCAAAGTGCAACAAAAGTGTTCAAGTGAGATTGTTTAGAGACTTGTATAGTGAAATACAGTGTTTAGTGAGTGTTTTGTAATTAACATTGTGTGTTAATTGTGTGAACTGTGTGGTGAATAAAGAACTGTCAATCGTGAACTGGCATATAATTTCGAACCCCATCCCGACACGTAACAATACCATTAAAAGGTCAATTTTATTTATCAGCCAAAATATGTAGCTTAGAGATTCTAGTCCGTTCTTAGTAAAAGGCATTTCTGGCGATTTTAAAAAGGGTTTGCATATACTTTCTCGTTAATTTTTTTATAAATGTTTTTGACATGGCATAATATAAGACGCAGCTAATATGAATAAAACGATTTTTGTACTTGTGAATTTTATTACTATTAAATAATGTGTTCCCAAGTTCCTATCAACTCCAACGCTTTGATTTATAAATTGTTTAAAGACGATACCAGTAAGTATGTATCCTAAACGTATATTCCAACATGGTCACCCTTAGAAAGAGATAACAAACATATGTGACGTCATTCAAGGCCATATTTTTTCACTTCAAGGTATTGTTTGCACTGCAATCTCCAGTGTTGTATATAAGCTTCTTGGTAGATATACTTCAATAGGGTGAAGTATAACATCATATTTTCACTTGTAGGAAAAGATGGGTTTAAAATACATGACATAAAAAAAATCAACGTACAATTGTCAAAACGCAAAATGTTTTATAGTTTTTTTTCTAAAAGGTATAGGTCAAACAAAGCTATCAATCACCGTTTTCCATGTTTATGATCAAAAGAGCAAATTTGTCAGTTTCAGTGAAACGTTACATAAAAACCGTGTATTGATTCCCCTTTCAACACACTGCGAATGTGATTACGACCGCGGCTGTGGACCGTAATGCGTGCCAACGGGCATTTTTAAATATTTGACCTATTTTTAGTCAAAGCTAATAATAATTAGAAAAGGTAGGTAACGTGAACCTCTCAGCTGGCAGAGAATTCCGTGAGTGGTGGCAGTTCTTGGGTAAATATTTTTTTTTCACTGGCAATGTGTCATGGTAAAATCGTACTGAAGATAAAATGAAAGCAAGGATACTGGAAATAATTTATTTTCATTACAATGTCAGTGATG